CTTTGACTTTAACAGACTACACATTTGATCGTCGCAGTGCTCTCTGATGATCTGATGAACTTGAACCTTCCGCTATGCTCTCCAACCAATGTTTTGTTATGCACAGGAGGCCCATAGTTTAACAGTAGACTTGTGATGTTGTGTAAATAGAACATATTACGAAGTTACATACGACACGTGATTTTTTATTGGTTGAACTGCTATGCATGTAGGTAGTTCACGTTTTTTATTGCAGATTTGTAAGAAATTAAACTTATTTTTATTACATGGGACTCATAACATAAATGATGAAAAGTGGGTGTTACATTGTACAGTGGCATTATGTGTACCTCTGCCTTTGGGAATAAAAAGGCGTGATGTTATGTTATGTTAAGTAAACTTATTATAAACAAAACTCTAATGGTCTTTCGATGTAACCAAAATTAAAACAAGATCAAAACATTACCAAGCCAACACAGTCTTTGACATAACCTACGAAACTTAAATACCACAAGTCAAAAGATGAACACAATGTTAAGTACAGAAGACTCAAAACATCACAGTGGAGTCCAGAAGTGTATCATACATTTAATAGACAATACCACTAAGGATGGAGTTTCTTGTAAACTTTACTTGGAACTTGGATAAGTTTCTGTGCAAGCCCTGTCCTTAAATTGAAATGGGTACCAAAATAGCTCTAGTTGTTTCATTATTAACTATTGAACTAAACTATTGAGATATCTCCGGGTTTCGTTGTAAGGTTAGCTCCTGTATAGTAAGTTTAATTTGATAGCAACGTTTGTGTTTGAAAGGTTTAGAGTGGACATGTTGTTGGTGATAATTTTGGATAGAACTTATTAGCTTTTCATTAATACTGTTGAGGACAGTAGTCGTTGTTTCGTGCATTGTTGTTCTACTTCGTTATAACAGTTTATTATAAACTTATCGCATTATTTCCATACATTCTAATTAATTTCTATCGTAAAATCTATCCCTTAGTATATTCAAGATTATACTCCATATGTTTTGTCTAGCAAGCACGCATTTAGGTAGTCAGACAATAACATGTCAGCTCTCATTACTAAAGCAGAGAAGCGTAATAGCACAGACAACGTTACTGCGGAATGCACCATACTCAAGTTCCTCACATCGGCTCTATGGGGATGTTCCAGCCACTAATGTCTTCAATAATTGGCAGTCGAACTTCCAATGTACCCAATGTACCCAATCACGAACTCAATTCGATAAAGACCCGACAGCTATGTAGGACGTAACCTTTTATATTATTAACTAAACTCTATATTGTTTGTATTCACGAAAAAAGTATGAGTGAGAAATGACGCATGAAATAGAATTTCTAACCAATTACATTACGGCAACGGTACCTTTCTCTTGTATTTTACTTTCTCCTGAAAGTACAACTTGAGGAAAAGAACAAATAAATCTATTTTTTACTTGAACGCTTTAACAAAATTCTTTTTGTACCTACATTGTATTCATGTGACAAAAATTTTCGCGTGTAACAAGCGCCTACTTTGGGCAGTCTTTCATGTTAACGAAACCACTTTCATAGCAGCAAGCAGTATAAAATTCAATTACCTAATTCAGTTTTAACACTTAAACGTGCATTGTTTGCCAGCAAACGATAGACCACGAGGCCGAGCCTACAAAGGCTCTACGGAGGTATATTTCCAAATATTTTACACAATGAAAGCAAGATTAACAAACAGTGGCTACTCTTTCTGGTCGAGCTGAGGTATGGCGGCTTGTCACGCGATACCCGCTTACACTGAGAAAATAAAGAAAAAATGAGAATAGATATTAGGATTCGGACGATTTAATACTAGTTTATTTTGGGTGTTCACTAATTTATGTTGTAGATACGACATTCGGGGAAAATGTTTTGTACTTCTGGAAATTAGGTAACTAATGTTTTGGAGGGTTATTAATTTTGTCTGTTCTTTTAATTTGTTGTTTACCTTACTACAAATATGAGCAATCAAACTTAAAATCAGCACAATTTATGAAGATATACCAGTAAACATTCCGCTGCCACCCTGTATTCCCACACGAAATTCAAATAGCTAGTTACAGGCCCGTTGTCCGGGCATATTACTGAAATATATCTTATATTACAGGGTGTACGAACGGCAATCTTGTCCGGCAAGCTTTGAATGCGCCTGTGAAATATAATTTCGATCGGACGGCAATCAGGGTCCGTTGAAGATGGAGCGTGATAGGACTTGGTAAAATATTAAATGTAGCGCTTGCGAGCAAGCCACAGCAACGTGCATCGAACAAGTGGGCTATAAATATTTATTATATCTATTGTCACTGGACAAATACGCGTTACAGCTAGGGTACTTCTGCTGTAAAAGTGTACGGCGTTGTGTTTTTTTTTTCGTCATCAGATTTACGCATTTGTTTAAGAGGATGAGGTTGGCTACTTTCTTGAGAGTTTTTTCTTATTTACCATGTTAAAATTATTCCTGTTAAGAAAATATTAGATCACAGTAGACTTAACCATTACTATTAAAAAGTATACCATATTTACATTATTTATTTAAGTAAACATTTTCGACACACTAGTATTTTTTAAACTGCACCAAGTTCAAACAGCTGATGTTTCCAGTTAAAAATCAACTTAAACCAAAGACTTAAAGCGTGTAATATACTTCTCTTCACTGAAATCTGCTATCACAGCTGAACATTTACCTGAAACAAACAACAAAACATTAAATATTTGGTAAATGTTTAAGAAACATTGCGTAGGGTTGGGCCCTAATATAAAATACCGCGGATTATATTTTACGACATAACCCTGGCGTCTTTACCAGCACACTTGTAGATCAACATCTCGCTAATATTTATTCGGGACACGGAGAAATCTTACTTTTTATATATTCTGAACAGTTTATTTGCCTCTTAAAATGTAGATGTGTCCTCATTTTCAATAGGTTTACTCGTATTTAGAGTAAGTGTACACAAATGTTTAAGTAGCCCAAGGTCGTATATATCTAAAAAAAAACATCTTAAAATTCTTCTATTATCCAATTATTTGATTTAAAACAATATAGAGCATAAAATATTCTCAGTAGCTGTAATCAATCTTCAAAGAATACCTAACTTAATTTGAAAAAATGTAATTACGTACAATATCATATTTTAACACTGCTCAGTTATTATTTTAGTCACTAAGTCTGTAGCCTTAGCCTCACTAAGTAAGATTAAATGTCTTTTTACATCGTCTCTCATAAACTATGTACGTATATCACTTTCCATCCCAACAGTTTCGGTCCCCCTCTGTAAAGTGGAAATAACCCGCTTAACATCGTCAATATAAGTGCATGGTAGTGAATTTTAACGTCCAAACTTGTCCGTACGTGAAAAATCCTTGCAAGTGAAGCTGTATCATGGTGGGGGTAGAATAGATCACTCCCTGTAGGAAAGCGTCAATCGCCGGCTGATTTATAGAGGGCGGGCTTCTACGGCGGCGCCGACTAAACTGTCCGGAGTTTTGCTCGTGTTACCGAACGCGGCCCACCGGCAAACAAGTCACTCACCTGCCGACGCTCTCATCGAAAATGCGAACCCTAGTAAATGCCTTTATAAACGAATCCATTTTAAATTCGAATAGTCTACCGACAACACGAACGGAACTTCCAGACATGACATGCGTGTTAACGAAATGTTGGCGCTTGGTCAATTTTAACGTGAAAATTTTACACAGTTTACCTACGTCGAATTTTCGTGACTATATTAAAATAACATCCTAATGGTGCCCGCGTGCCTAACTGAGCCTGTTACAGTTTTCCACTTTAATTATGAAATTCAGTCAAAAACATAAAAGTCTGTCTGTTAATTTCCAGACGTCTTTTATGCAAAGTTTAAGCGCAAACTTGACCTAAGAATTCAATCAGGACTCGGGTTGGCAATAATTGCACGAACCGAGAGTGCACTATTGCTAAACTTTTCATCCCGTTGTTAGCGTTCTATTGAAATCATCTTAACGCTATTCGTAGTTCTACACGCCATGGTAATAAATTGCCAAAGAGTAAACTACTTGCAATCGGGAAAAGTTAAATTTTAATCTCAAAATGCAGACAAAATTTAAAATTACGACATGATTTAAACAGATTGTCGAACGAACGTTTAAAACGACGTCATTCGTGCAATCTGCTCGAGAGTTTTAGTATCGGCAGATAGCCGGCCGGATTAATGTATAAAATATAAGATCAACATTTGCATTTCCGAAAATATAGATATAATTGAAACGTTTTAGGGGCATTGAAGAAGTTTTAGTTCAATTTAGCGGCAATCAGGACGGCCGTTGAAGACGGAGCGTGAGCCGAATGCTTAAAATATTAAACGTGCCGGAATGACGGGACGACGGGACAGCGGCCCGCCAATTTGATATCTGTGTCAAATTAAATGAGCGTACCCCAAATATATGATATCACACAAAATGTTTCAGCATCATTCGTTTATTTTGTGAAAACATTGTTGTTGTAGTGTGTAATCACGTGAGAGCGTACTAATTTTTGTTTAAACTGTCTCATTTGTAACTATGAATTTCATTTCGAATTGAAATATAAGTTCTTATCGAATGTTCGTTGAAATACTAATATTTATTTAATGATCTGAGTTCGCATTAAATCAGCGTTCGCTCTTCGTAACAAGAAGAAAGATATAAAAGAATACAAAGTCAAATTAACGTCAACATAATGTTAAAAAGGGAAAATGTAAAGCAGTAATAACTAAAAATGGGTAAAGATAAAATTGTGACAGCTAGAAGGAAACGAGCCCAGCCAAGCGTATCTCACGAATGCAGCGGCGCTCGTTTTGATTTTAATTCAAGAAAATATAATTTTTTAATACTTTGTTTGCCTATATTATTTTTGTTCGTTGTACATTTCTACGTCAGCTAGGCAGTACGCTTCTTAATTATATTGACAGAAATAGGAACTGTTCAATATGATGATTCGTATCTTTTTAGAGACAGTTTCAATTCGTTTTTTTAAACGTTTCCGCACTCTCGTATTTTCTCCTGTGTCGTGGGTGCGTTTACAAACATACAAGGTCACATACACATGACATCCAGATCCAGAACAACAATCTGTGGATTCACAAACAGTTGTTCTGTGCGGGAATCGAACTCGTGACACATTGCGCGGTAGCCAGTTGCCCAGCCACCACGCCAACCGTGCGAGATTTTTGGATTTTGGTTTATGAGTTCAATTTGGATATACAAAAACTTTAAAAGAATAGATTATTATAGTAATCTTATTGTTATTACCACAGAACATCATTTCGACAGTTACTACCAAACTTACTCTTATTTTGTTCACAACAAATATTTCTACAGCGATAATATATTTTTTATCCCCATATTTTATTTATACATAGTTTATTCAGAATTCCCATTGTTTCAAAAGAGTAAATCATCGGTTTCATAGATTGAAATCAACCAATCGTTATTGCGTACATTGTTTGGTTTGAAAATGGCAACATCAATATGTGAATATCTCATTCAAACCTCCAGCGAAGCCTGTCCTGAAATATTTAACATACAAACAAGTGAAAATCGAACCAATTAAAATGAGGTGCATAGCTACATTAAAAATTTAAGCCTCATGCCAGACTGTCGGAATTTGATTCTCTTTTCCATTTTGTCTGTTCGTATAAATAACATTTTTAAATTTATATTTTTTTTCTAGTGTTTCAGTTGATATTTTTAAGTTTTCGGTAATTGCATTCGTGCATTGTTGAGTTGGTGACATTGATATATGTATGTATATTTAGGGATAAGTCAAAATAGTCTAAATTATTTATTTCAATTAGACCAGAAAGACACTTGAACGTCAATATAAGTTTGAAAGTAAACCTATTTGCCCATTCCAAGGTGTAGATTTCCTAAGGAGAAGAACGAGCAAGATACTTCATAGGAAGAAAATCAGTTACTATCTTGAAATTCGCATAAAAAATCACTACCTACTGTTATAAAGTATTTTCATAAAAATGATTTGGATAATGGTATAATTTAAGTTATAAATACAGTTATATCTGAACAATACACAGTACCTCTAGCATCTAAATCAATTAGGTTTCAATTACCATAACTATGCATTTTTATTTCAAACTTTACAGAAAACGAGGTAAATCGGAAAAATAAATTATACTAGATCCGTTTCCCGAGATTACAAATAGAAAAGCGTCATAGAAAAATAAAATATAACCGTTGTAAGAATTAAAGCCGAGCGGAGAACTGTGAAAATAAATCAAAATACAAAAAGAAAATTCAAGTCTCCTGTAATACAGAAAGGGTACTATTTCATATTTTTGCTCCAAAGTAAATAAATTTGACTTTTTCGCATTTAAATTTACAAATTTTCCGGAATGCTAGGCCGACGCAATCGCACTCCTCACCGACCTGCCTTCCTAGTTTATTTGCTTCATTTTCAACAAGATTCAGATTGCCAAGAAGTTTTGCGTTCAATTTATATAATATTACCTTCTTTCTTGCTGTTATTGTAAACTGTTTTCCACGCTAAGTCCATTATAAAACTCAATGTTTTTCGGATGAAAAATTTACTACTTTTCTTAATTGATCCTCTAACAGCATTACTTAATCTGTCAAACACCGAGCGGTCACCGGTGACCGCGACCTATTGTTCTTTAATTGTGTCTATAAAACCGGTACTCGACGAGTTAAATAAATGACTTAACAGAGTTTATTGACTTGTTAGATAAATAGCCAATATTGAAAATCATTACAAACAGCAAATAATCTCACACTACTAAATCTGAATACTAATACTTATACTCACAATAAAAACTAATTATTGTCACCTTACAATATTTTTCATACAATCCAAATAACGAACAAAAAATAAAAATTCACAGTAAACTCAGTCCAATTATCACACCATTCCTATCATATCAGATGGCATCGTAAAAATATGATGAACACAATCCTGGGACTTCTGTGATTACCCTGTGGTACCTACACCAATGGTCTCAAATCGATGAACTATAAATCCATTGTCTAAGTTTGCACAGACTGAGCTCCTCTGGACTCCGAAGATTAATTTTCTTAGTTTAGATTGTTTCGTGTCTCATTGTGCAAGTGATAATTGGATTTTCTCGACTATCTGTGATTTAGTTACCTCTGGGTACGGATTTGTCGTAAAATTCAATGGTGCGATATTGTGGTGCTTGCTTAGCTTGTAAGTGCGTGTATGTTTGTGTGGTACGAAATTATACGGTAAAGGTGAATTGGTTTTGAGATTGTCGGTTGAGACTTTACGAATGTGATAATTTGATTGAAATAATTACACAATGTAGATACGTATGTACCTACTACAATTATTTTTACGAAACTCACAATAAAATCAAAAACACTACACATTTCTTTGAAAAAGTATTCCCAACACAAAAACAAGGAAAACATGATAAAAACGACTACAATAACATTAAAAATAATTTAGAACTCACCCTTTTTCAGCTGGAGGCAAATTTTTGTGTAAATGTGCACTTATCTCAAAAACAGCTGTACAATGTTTAGCAAGATTGTTACATTAATATTGTCTCAAAAATGGTGTTGGAATTAACATTGTTGGCTGACAGTGGCGTATCTTTTTCTTAGCGGTTAAAAACAGCAGTAAAATTGTATCGTTTTATGGAGATCGTTAAACTAAGCTTGGTGTGTGGTTTCATCGTATGTGGTAGGGTTGTTTTGTAATGTAAGCTATACGAAAGCGCTAGTGGTTTAAAAAACTAGGGATGGAATGTCTTTAAAACAGTTTATACTTCATTTCTAGTCCATTTATTAATTTCGTATAAGAGTAGGAAATGTTCTCACATATAAAACTTTTTTAGATTTTCTGTGTAAATTAAAGATAAGAGGCAGATAACCAAGAGTAAGGAGTTATTAAAAAAATATCAAAAATTTCATACGAAATTACAGTTAAGACCTATTATTCTTAAAGCATAATATCCAAATCTCATTAATTCCATCTACATCAGACAAACTAACTACAACTAGGTACTTATCAACCGAAGCTATAATTTTCATCTGTCTCAATCACTATACAACAATCCCAAACCGCTTCGCTTTTTAATTTTATTGATGCGTAAATCGTCAGGGCTATTATGAAAAGTGTTAAACATTGCACATGCCAGCAAATAAAACATAATTTAAGGGGTTGACGTGACAAAAGCTTTGGATAGTTTTTATCAAACGTTTGTAGTTTGTAAACAACGTGTTGTCATGAAATATACGCGATTTTTTGACGTGTTTAAACGGTGTGGCGTGACTCTAATTGGTTGTTTTGATTAGCTTTGACGCTAATTAAAATGTCGTGTGACAAATGCTGGGAAATTGTTTGTTACGATTTTATTTGTTGTAGTCTTAGAGGTTTCATTCATTAGTTCATTGAATTTTGGAATGGTGGCTGTATTTTTTGTGCTTATTTGGAAGTGCTTCCTTGTTGGTTCAGCTGTTGGTAATGTAACAAATGAGTGGGCATATTACAATTATTTGATACTAACATTCTTAAAAACGAAGTGTGTTTTAAGCAACCTCTAAAACTGGAGACATACTAAATTAAGTTAAATCGTAATCTATCATCATCGTCACTCACGAGAATATATGAAAATTAAATAAAAATCGCGAGTTACTCACACGAAGTTGCGCAGCCTAACAGTACGCTGCGCGACCGCGCACGCTGCTCATGAGGAAGAGCCCCTTTGTGGCTCGAAACTAGTAGAGCTTTTCTAAGTATATTCACGTTAGTAACCTGCGATTTTTAGCTAACCCTAAACCTGCAATCTAAATCTATAACATACGTGGTTATTTCAATATATGATGTGCCCATAAACGTATATTTACATGAAGCATTATTCCCACTTATTCCCACTTAATAATTGGAATCCAAAGTCTCAATATAAATTAAAACACACTTAACATTTCAATAAAATAATAAGGTGGCTCTTATTGATTGTTTCTAATTGTGTTACCTACCTGAATGTCGGTCGTCGCTTCATTAAATATTTCTTAAAAGATCGTAACTAACTTGTTACTGAGAACAGGCGAGGTATACTGCCGTCCCTTTCTAACGATGTCAAAAATTCAACGTTTAAATAGAAACCTAGTTTTAAAACCGATCGAATTCTAACAATAGAATGGAAAATTAGGTAGTGTAGCTTAGTCTAGACTTGAAGTAAGAGCTAAATATTCATTTCCATTTGTTTGAATTATAGATTATGAAAGTATAGACGATAGTTTATGATGGTTTCTTAATAAACTCATTAACAGTTTTCATTACAAAATCTATGCCGAACCCAAAACATTATAGAACTCAATAGAAAATTGACCACCAACTCTCGTAACAAATCAGATTTTACATTTATTTTTCTTAATGACAAAATTACAAAAAGTTTAATGAAATCAAAACTTTCAATTTCGCACCCACAAAAATCCCCCTACATCCCTATTTTCCGCAGAAAAACCAGCAAACGTCTCCCTTCCAATTACCACAGTGAGAATGCCACTGATAACTGAGTTATCGTACTAATACGTCTGTATTAGCAGAGTGACACTGGTTAACATGTACCAGACCAGCAAAATTAGCACTAAGACTAACGGAGAATAATTAGTGTATCGCTACAAAATGGACGACACGGGTTTTTGTCAAGAAGACATAGCAAAAGTAGCGTGTATCTTTTGAGGGTTGATTAGGTTGGGGTAACCTTAGCTATGCATTTGAAAAGTAGTGGAATATTATGGCATTTTATAATTCTATAACTGTGGTTGTAGGTAATCAAATTGTTGACCTAATGCTTATCATTCGTGCCTTATCTTCTTCCTGCTGAATACTTTTAATGTCTCAACGGCTGACTCGTAGGTACTCTTGTGATTATACTCAGCGTTCCTTTTTAATTTATACTAACAAATCGCCCTCTCTTTATAATATGACTTACATTTTCCTGCACGGCTCCATTGTTGCACAACGAGTTAGAATTATTCCACCAGCCCACAATGATAAACTGAGATTCCA